ATCGCAGGGAATCCCTAGGAATCCTTTTTGGGAATCCTTCGGAATCCTTAGGGAATCCTTAGGGAATCTTTCGGGCACCCTTAGGGAATCCCGTAGGGAATCTTTCGGGTATCCTAGGAAATCCTGTGAGAATCCTTCAGGAATCCTTCAGGAATCCTGAGGAATACTTTCTGGGAGTCCTGAGGAATCCCTAGGGAATGCTAAAACATCCCCAGGAAGCGTTAGGAGATCTTAGGAAATCCGGAGCAATCCCGAGTGAATCCGATGGAATCCCTTGGCAATTCTTAGGACCCCATCAGGAATCCATTAGAATCCCTTGGAATCCTTAGGGGATCCTTAGGAATCCGTGAGAACACTTGAAGAATCCGCCAGGAATCCTTAGGAATCCCTAGGGAATCCTTTGCAAGCCTATAAGGAATCCTTTGGAAGCCAAAGGGAAATCTTTAGGAATCCCTATAGGGAATCCTCAGGCATCCCTCGGAAATCTTTAGGAATTCCTATAAGGAATCCTCAGGCATCCCTCGGAAATCTTTAGGATTCCCTATAGGGAATCCGCAGGAATCCCCAGGGAGTCCTTCAGCAAGCCTTCAGGAATACTTCGGGATCCCGAATGAATCCCTAAGGAATCCCTGGGAATCCTTAAGGAATCCATAGGAATCCCGAGGGGACCACCCAATCTTTTAACCTCTGACGTTTCAGCGGAGTTGGGAGTGTCTATTTCTGGGCTCGGTCAAGGATTCGGCGCGCACCAAATCTATCAGTATCTATTTGTTCGAACCAGTTTCTATTTGTTCTGATGAGTTTCTATCTTCAACCCAAGGATATTACAATGCGTATCTATGTTTAAATAAGAGACGTGTCGATTAGTGTCTCTTTTTCATCAAAAATGGATTCCGTATCTATCTTTGGTAACAGTATCTATTTTGCACGTGTCTTTTTTCATTTGGTCACACGAACTGCAGATCAAAACAACCTAAAACATATACTCGCGTTTCGCGCGCTCCGACTCAGATGCGCTGCGGTTTCGCCATAGCAGGCGCGCGCCAAAGACAGACACTACCAATATCTATTGTTTGTCTACCAGGAATGCGCGGTCGTGGCCCCGGCCCCCGGTCACCGGCCCCGGCCCCCCGTTGCATGAAGAAGCAGCTCTGGGGTCTCCAACCCAAGCTTGCCCGAAGCCGGGCCAAAACCAGAGCTCGCCCCCTCGCTCGCAGCCCCCCCGCCCACTGAACTCAGATCTCGACCGACGGGGCACGCGGGGGCCCGAGCTCAGGAGGCGGGGGCAGGGCCGAATTCGGATGGAGGCCTCTCCTAATCCTACTAGAGAGGCTAACCTGGGATGTTTGTTACCCTTGCAGATGGCGGCAAGACCCGCTCCAGTCCTGTAGTTTTTCTAGACGCTGGCACCGCGGCCCGTGCAAAACAAGATCGGCGGGGCAGTCTCCGAGCCAAGCTCTGCCGCTTGCGCAATTTCACGCCCTCGAAGTAACCGCGGCTGCAAACCCGGGCTCGCGCTCCCAGCGGCGGGGCTCGACCCCTCCACGGGGGCCTGAGACTGGCCTGCAACGTTAGAAGGTTCTACAGGCAACGCTTCGCGACACCGGAGGCGCTCTCTGGCAGCGCAATGGGTGCTCCACCCTCTGGCATCTTCCGCATCGAGCAGAGACTCATCCAACTCAAGATCCAAGACAACATCAGCTGTGCCACCGAATCCGTCGGCATGGTGAAAACCAGAGGCATGCAGCCGGGAGTGCAAGCGGCCCTGCCAGACGGCCACCTGCTCCACGCGGCTCTCACACGCTTCTACAAAGCACTCCTGCTCCTCCAAGACTTCCCGCAAGCGGGCGCCTGTCTTGGCCCGCTCGTTGGCCAGCCTGGTGCCCCTAAGCTCCTGCGCGTCGTCGACAGACGAGGCCCCCCGCAACGACCGATGGGCCTTATCCTTTTTTCCACCGTTGCGGACGAGCCTACCGTAGGACGCCGCGACGCGGCGCCGCTCATTCCGAGGATCCAACGCTCTGGCCGAATCAGCGCCGCGCGAAACAAACCCTGCACAACCGCAGAAACCTTTCTAGGGGCACTTCCGAATTCCACTCGGCCGATGGGGGGCCCAGAACAACTCGCAAGCATGTGGGGGGCATGGCCATCGCCGTCGCTAGCCCGCCGGTCGGGCCCCACCTCCGACGGGCCGCGCGCGCAGGCATCAACTCGGCCAGCCTGGTCGACCTGCGCAGCAGACCAGCCCGCTCTCCTGCGCGAGCCGTGATCCGCGCAAAAAGCTGGCCCGTCAACCACAGCCGGCCCTCCCCAGCGCCGCCCAGGCATGGCCCCGACAATCCTGGCTCAGCTTTCCTCGGGCGCCTCGGGCCGCCCAAAGGAGCGCTCGGGGGAAGGGGGGATGCGTCGCGGAAGCAGCTCGGCTTCGTCCTCGCCGAGCTTCGCCGCATTCCAGGCGGCTTGCTAGAGATCGCTCGGCAAATCAGCGCGCCGGAAACCTGCGGGGCATGGGCAACCGAATCCCCCACGGAAGCGCGCGCCGCGGCAACCGCGCATTCCGCCCTTGTCCGAGACAGCCTGGTCGTGCCTGTGGAGTCTGGCTCGTGGCCGGTGGGTCCCCGATATAAGACTGCGAGCCAGGTTGCGCTCGTGCTGATATGCTTAGCAAGGCCTTTCGCTCATCAGTGGCACAACTCGAACAATCCGAGGGCTCGTGCGTGTGCGAGGCCATCCGTCGTCGATGTCGCTATGGCTCACTGAGGCAGGCTGGTATTGGGAGGGCCAAGCTAAGCTCGCGAGCGCATCTGCTAGGAAATGGATGCTCACTGAGGCACCACCGCAGCTGATCGCTGATCGCTTCGCAGAAGATCTGGCAACCAAGCACCTTGGCGAGCGCAGTCGCCACAACCTCTCCAATGCGGGGAGGGCAACGCGCAGCCTGCTGATCGAGGGCTGCGGCTTCCTGCTATCACGACGGCTGTGAAAAAATAGCGACAGCTTTCTCCAGGCAGTGGGCACTTATGTCGGGAAGTGTTGTCTGTCTCTGCACCAGCTGTGGAAGCTGTAGCTGGTTGGGGATACCGTGTCGACACGGAATGTTCCTCTCTGCAGAGCAGCTCTAGACACTCCTTGGCATCGGACTTACGTATATACTGCACCGAGGCTGTTGCCAGGCGAGCTGGGCATTGTGGCCTTGAGTTTCTGGAACCTGTGCGGCGAGCTGGGCCAAGCTGTCTTTTGTTTTCGTCATTGTGGCCCACCATGACCAGACTGACTACTGAAAACCATTGGCCCTGTCGGGCAGGAGGCTGAGACATTCTGAAGCGTCCGAAGCAATTTTCGCTAATGGCTCGCGTTTCCAAGGATACCGGCTCGAAATTTCCCGCGCTGGCTTCGGAGTTGTTTCGGTGACTGACTCTGGAGACTCCGAGGTCGTGCGAGATCTGTATGGTTCGCTGCCCAGTGACTTCTCCCAGAGCAGTACTGAAACTGAACATTGTGGCTTGGTCACTTCCGTTCTGCGTCGAGAGCCTCCCCCCGCCGACACCCCCCACTGAGCCTGTCAAAATGGACTACTCTGGGCTCCTTGCTGGAGCCAAGCAGCCCGTGAGGGCACTCTCGGGGAGATCACGTATCAGCTATTTCTGGCGTGAAATCGATAGGAGAATTGGTGGTGGGCCCTGACCAGGTTCAGGCAAGGCCAAGGCCCACCGAGCCTTCAGCGAGGCCACCGCTCATGCTGACCATATGAACATAGCTGGCTCCACCAGGGCAGATGAGCTAGCCAAGTTAGGAGCAGGGCTTCACAATCTGGCACTCGGCGAGCTCCAAGAGTTCGGGTAAACCGAGGCCGAGTATCAGAGTTTGGTTACAGGTGCGTTGCATAGTCGTCGGCCTTGGCACGCTTGTGGAGAGCAGTTTGGTACACTTGCTGGCTAGACCCCCGAAGCCGAAAAGGGTGAATACCCCAGGCCCATGTCGCCGCCTTTCACTTGGGTTTTTTTCGGTGCCTGAGGTGGTTTCTGAACGTGCCACTACCCCTTTGCCAACCTCTCAACCCCACCCGTTCGGACCTGCTCCGTGGTGGTGCTGGGACGGGGCATAAGTTGCACTGGAGTAGGGTAGTGGAAAAATGTGCCAGTCATATTATGTGTACAATGTGGTGGGCTCGCGTCGGTGAAGTCTGGCAAGCTTTCGGCACCCTGTTTGAACCCAAAACGCTCGTCTGAGCGGTCGAAGTTCCTTCGTGGGTTCTTCCTGGTTCGGACTACAGGCTGGGGCAAACGTTTCCCCTCTCGTCCCTCGCTTCTTTTCCTCTGCCTCCGCTTTCCCCTCTTCCCCCGCCTCCGTTGCCCCAACCGTGTAGCTCCTAGTTCTGTTGTCGGCGCTCGTTGCTCATTGAATGACTGGGCGTCCGAATGGTCTGTGAAGTCTGTGAGGGGAGGAGGAGGAGGAGGAGGAGGAGGAGGAGGAAGAGGAAGAGGAGAGGAGGAGGAGATGGAAGAGGAAGTGGATTGAGAAGGAGGGAAGAAGAGGAGGAGGAAGTGGAGGAGGTGGAGGAGGAGGAGGACCTGGAGGAAGGAGGAGGGAAGAGGAGGAGGAGGAGGAAGAGGTGGTGGAGGAGGTGGTGGACGAGGGAGGGGGATGAAGATGATGATGATGATGATGATGATGATGACGATGATGATGATGATGATGATGATGATGATGATGATGATGATGATGATGATGATGATGATGATGATGATGATGATGATGATGATGATGATGATGATGATGATGATGATGATGATGATGATGATGATGCTGATGATGATGATGATGATGGTGCTGATGATGATGATGGTGATGATGTGATGATGGTGATGATGATGATGATGATGATGATGATGATGATGATGATGATGATGATGATGATGATGATGATGATGATGGTGAGGAGGACGAGGTGGAGGAAGTGGAGGGAGGAGGAGGGAGGAGGAGGAAGGTGGAGAAGGAGAAGGAGGAGGAGGTGGAGGAGGAAAAGGAGGAGGAGGAGGCGGAGGAGTAGGTGGCGGTGGAGGTGGTTGTGGAGCCCCCCCCCCCGAGACAAGGGGCCAGGCCGAATTGAGGGCCGCGCGCGCGGGGGGGGCTCCCCGGGCGGTTCCCGCGGCTGCTGCGTCTCGAGCTGCTCCCAGTGCATGCGGCACCTCCCAGAGGAGCACGAGGAAAGGGAGGGAGAGGAAGAGGGGGGGAGCCAGAAGGAGGGTAACGAAGAGGGAGACGAAGAGCAGGGGAAGGAAGAGGGGGGCGAGGGAAGAGGAAGGGCTGCAGTTAGCTCATTGCTGTAGTTGTGGCACTTCTTTCAGGTGCATGAGGCGCTGCTGCCAAACAAAAAATGAGGAAGGGGAGCAAGAGGAGGGGGGGAGAGCAAGAGGAAGAGGAGGGGGAGGACGGGAGCGGTCGGGGGAGCTGGAGGAAGAGGAAGGGGAGACGGAGGGGGTCGCGAGGGGGGGGGGGGGAAGATGGAACGACTCGCGATCCGTGTAACCTTTGCAAGAGTTCACGTGTCTGGCGACAACTGGTGCGGAGCTATCAATATAAAGCGCAAACTTAAAATTGAGCCTCCCTCAACGATGGGCCTGTTTTCCACCACCACCACCATAAGTTGAAGGGAGGGGGTCCTCCTCCTCCTCCTCCTCCTCCTCGTCGTCGTCCTCCTCCGCTTCCTCCACCTCCTTCCCTCCTCCAACTTATGGTGGTGGTGGTGGTGGAACACAGGCCCATCACTCGGTCCGTAAAGCTGTTGCACGCATGCACTCCCTAAGCACTGCTTGCACCGAGGGGTTCGCTGCCTGCGTCGCGAAGAGGGGCCGCCCGTGGCCGCCCCGCGGGTGCCCCGTGCGCTGCCGGGCGATCCCCGACTCTCGCAGGGTGCCCACCCGCGAGCGCCTCGCGAAGTGGCTGGCGCTTCTAGATGCACAAATGGACTGCGCGGCACCCAAGAGGCCGCCGAAGGGAAGGTGCGCAAGATCCTCTGCGGGCTGGGCTTTTCCGAGAAGATGATGGACAGGCCGACGGAGGTTGTGTCCGGTGGCTGGAGGATGCGCGTGTCCCTGGCGCAGGCGTTCTTCCTGGATCCCGACCTGCTAATGAACCGCGTAGCTAAGAACCATTATTTCCTCCTCCTACGAATAATCTGCTTACGCCCCCCACGTCAAGGCCGGACTTGGCGGCCCCCCCCGCATGTTCCTTTTTTTCTAAAACGGTCCTGCACGATCGTTGATCCAACATATGAAGCCAAACCATCCCAGCAAGGCCACTATCGACTCCACCCGCCATCCCCATCAAATGATACAGTGCGGTGCGCACGCGTTGTTTCAAGAGGGGCGCTGTGTAACTGCTCGGTTGTGTGATACCATGCGGGGCACATGCGCGCACCACCCGCACGCGCATGTCGAAACCAGACCAACACCATGAGTGTTCTAAGCGATTCAGGATTGAGCCCACCGAGCAAATGTGATAATACGTTAAGCGCACCCATTCGATACATGCCAAATCTTATGCGCGAGCACTTGCTAACATAATCGAGCAGAAGTGAGCTATCTTTGCGAGATAAAAGGGGTGCGGGCCACACGCGCGAACGTCCCGCAAGCGCAGGTCGAACTAATTCACAAGCCAGCGCGCGCTTGATAATACATACTTGACGTGCTATTTTTCCCTCACGGACCATGTCAGATAACAAAATGCGAGCCGCACGCGTGCGCCCCCACCCCCCGCACGCGCAAGTCGAACTCCGCCGACCCCTTGTGGGTCTCTAGGCGTGTGAGATTATCCCCACCCCATAATCCCCCCCCCAGGGATCCCAAACCGGGCCCCCCCCCCCTTGGCCGAGCGCGACCCCGGATCGAACGCGCCACGGGGAAGCGGAGGGCTCCAAAACTCGCCAAGAAGGCACCCAAACGCTCCCCAGACGGTCCCATGGGGCCACGATTCCCAGAAATATCGCCCCTGGACGCCCACGATGGCCTCCAGGCGGCCTCCGAAGCTGCCAAGACGGCCCAAAAGGCCCCCAAGATGCGCCCCAAGGGGGTCCCAAGAAACAGAAATCGTCCCACTCCCTCAGAAAAAAAACTCTCGCATGCTCGCCTATTCGGTTCCAACGTCCCATACGGGCAAAGAAACCTTCAATTTCGCCCCCAGACGGCCAAAGGGGCCCCCAAGAAGGGTCGAACAGGGTCCAACAACAGCCCACGAAGCCCCCAAGACAGCCCAAGAGAGCCCCCAGACGGCTCCAAGACGGAGTCCAGAGGGCACCTTTTCGAGCCTTCGGCCCAAAGACGCCCCCAGCCTGCCCCAAGAACGCCCCCAGAGGCCCTGAGAGACCCCCAAGAGAACCTTCAAGGCCGTCAAGAAGCCCCCAGGACGCCCCCAAGAGGCCCCAAAACTTGGCCCAAGATGCCTCGAGGCGGCCGGATATGGCCTGCAGGCAGGCCACGATGCCACCAAAAGGCAACAAAAGAGCACCAAGAGGTACGATACCAGCAACGAAGCAACAGGAACGATGTCGAGCGCCGTGGCATGATTCGGACAAGCCTCGTGAAATCCAGCCCTGGGGGCATAATAGTTTACCTATACGACCGCCCTGCGGGCGATAAGGAGGTTGGGGGGGATTGAGATCAAATGCCCACCCTGACCGACCTCCAGCCTGTCACCTTGATATCATATCTCTCTTTCTCTGTCTCTGTCTGTCTGTCTCTCTCTCTCTCTCTCTCTCTCTCTCTCTCTCTCTCTCTCTCTCTCTACATATATATATATATATATATATATATCACTCTGTGTGTGTGTGTCCCTCCCTCTCTCTCTCTCGCCCTCTCTTTTTTGTTTATCTCTCTCTCTCTCTCCCTCTATCAGAGTCTCCCTCCACCACAATGACGATCGCGATGACGATGAGATCACACTATCTACCTATCCGTCGACCGACCTATCGGTGAATCCCACTGTCGATCTCACTATCGACCTCCAAAACAAAATGGGAAAGCCCGCACCAGGCGCCGAAAAACGATTCGTTGTCGGACAACCACAGGACAACCATCGGCACAACCACCAGACAACCATCAGGACAATCACGCATACTAGGTAATATATGTTTCCCTTTCTCTCTCTCGTTTTCTTCCCCTCTCTTTCCCCCTATTTTGTTTTTTCTCTCTCTCTCTCTCTCTCTCTCTCTCTCTCTTTGCTATGTATGTATGAATATATATTATATATATATATATATATATATATATAGATATATATAATATATATATATATATATATATATATATATATCAGCCTCCCCTTCCACCACAATGATGGATTGGATTGGCCCGCCGCAAGCGCAGAAACACATGATTCGATGGATTGGGTTGGATGGATTGGATTGGGTTGGGAAATATAGGATGGGACAGGATGGGTTGGATAAAGCAAAATGGATTGGATTGGACAAGATGGATTGGATCAGACATGCTGGATTGGATAAGAAAACCCGCCGCAGGCGCCGACAAAAATGAATTGATGGATTGGGTTGGGTCGATTGGATTGGATGGAAAAATGGATAGGATAAGATAGTATAAGATGGATTGGATTGGCCCGCCGCGCGCGCAGAAACACATGAATTTATGGATTGGGTTGGGTGGATTGGATTGGGTGGGATCAGTTAAAATGGGGCACGATGGGTTGGATAAGATAAGATGGTTTGGATTGGACAAGATGGATTGGATGTGGTAAGCTGGATTGGATAAGAAAACCCGCCGCAGGCGCCGACGCCGAACAAAATGAATTATGAAATTAACGACATGCGTTAGCGCCAGGACGCCCAGGACACCCGGGACACCCGGGACACCGCCCGGCCCAACTGGGACACCTCCCGGCCACCGGCGGACGGGAAACGGATTTTCGCTCCTACTGACACCCGGGACGCCTGGGACACCGCCCGGCCCAACTGCGACACCTCCCGGCCACTGGCGGACGGGGAACGGACTTTCGCTTCTACTTCGGCCTAGCTACAGGAGGATCACGCGCAGCTTCGCCTCGCCAGCACGCGCGACACGAACGCGAAACCGAAACCGATTTCCCGGTGGGTGGTCTCCTTTGCATTGCGATCTCACCCCCAACCTCCGTAATAGTTTATATAAGGGTCGGCGGATGTGGCGTAAGCCTATAGAATCCACGTCCGGAAGTGACGTGTTGCCGGAGGCAGGTCGCGGAGCGGAGCGGAAGGCCTAATGCAACGTATCCAATGTATCCAACGATTGCGTAATTGCTACATATTGCATTGTGTTACATTGTTATCTCTCCCCCCTAACCCCCCCGGAGTCGCGCCACTTCCGTCGACCCAAAGGTGGAGGGCCACCTGTGGGCCTAAAAACCAACAAGAACCAATGGAAAATCAATGATTTCGGCTCCTTGGGCCTCCTGGGGGTCCAAGAGGGCGTGAAGACGGCTCAAGATGGTCTCAAAACGGGAGAAGACCGCTCCAAGACGGCCCAAGATGGCCCCAAGAGGGCCCAACGCGCCCCCAAGATGGCCCAAGAGAGCCCCAAGAGCGCCCACCAGATCGCTTCCAGAGGCCAAAAACATATATTTCCCTTAGGTGTTTGAAAGATTTTAGCGTTCTCGCCTTTTCAGGCTCTCAAGACGGCCCAAAATGACCCCAAGAGGGCCCATGAGGCCCCCAAAAAGGTCCAAAAGGCCCCCAAGAAGACTCCCGAGAGCGCCTCCGGAGGCCAAAATCTTTTTCCTATAGTTCTGGGACAATTTCAACGTTCTCGCCTTTTCGGCTCTCAGGAGGCCATGGCGGCCCAAGCAGCCTCCAAAAAGGCCCCCAAACGGCCCAAGAGGCCTCCAAGGGGGCCCCAAGACGGCCCAAGAGGGCTCCGAGACGGCCAAAAAACGCTTCCAAGACGGCCCAAGAAACCCCCAAGACGGCCCCAGAGGACCCCAAGAGAGCCCCAAGGCGGCCGCGAGAGGCTTCCAAAGTGGCCTCCGAAGTGGCCAGACGGCGTAAGAGCGCCCAAAGTCGGCTCCAAGACGTCCCCAGAGGCCCCCAGAGGCTCCAAAGAGGACCCCAAACGGCCCAGGAGGGCCCCAAGACGGCTCAAAGAGGCCCCCAAGGCGGTCACAAAAAACCCTGAGACGGCCCATGAGGACCCCAAGAGAACCCCAAGGC